TAGTATGGAATAATCAGCTATCTCTCTTACTGGGGTTGATTGGTGGCACATTTACTAATCCAATCATTTGCTCAAATTTCTTTTGCATTTGCTCTTGCAAATTTTTTTTTCATTCTTGCCTCCATTTTTACTATGCTTTCAGCCACCTTTGTCGTTAGATCTTGTTCGATAAAAATTTTGGATTGATGTCCAAAATAGGTGCCCTGAAAAATGTCGAATCCAATTCTTCTAACATGACCAAAGACCTTTGGGGCTCCCAATGCCCTACCAAGAACATCCATATGGCTACTCACATCATCCTGTGATACTAATTGTGACAATGCTTCCTATTGACCAAATTGTAAATTGGTTATTAAATAAATGAAGCAAATAAAGTCAATACATTAAGGCATCAATACTCACACAATCCTCCTAAAATTTTCAAGTGTGCTGATCCAATAATCTACTTTTCTTATCCTCTTAAACTGTCTTCCATACAAGAGCATGGGTAACTATGGCATCCAATCTAGCATCTTCCTTCTATTTAGAGAAGGTAAGATATTAAAATGATTACAAAGCATTTCTCTATAGGTAATATCATAAGTTATTAACTAGCACTTACCAAACCATGCTCAATATCTGGATAGTTCTTTCTTCCTGCTCTAAATGAAAAAGGAGTATTTGCAGTTTTAAAGCGATTGAGCTAACTTATCTGTTGAAATTCAGGCTATTGGCACATTTTAATAAATTCATCCCAATACTATTGTTGAATCTCCAAACACATTTTAAGAGGATGTGGATTGATTTCTCCATTTGAATCCTTAAGATGATATGTTGTAAGAGTAGCTCGAAATTTCCTATAGGCATATGCAACTTTTCTCATGATATGATGCCTACAGCTCTCACCTAGGTCAAAAGATATTATAAGATCTTTCCAAATATTATTTTTTGCTTGTTTGAGCTCTAGATACAATACAACAAGGCACGTAATAACGTGTTAGAACCCCAATATAACTGACCAACTGAGCATACTTAACTAATTGGCCCCTATCATTCCAATATGTTAGTAATTTTAGACCAGCTACCCGAGCTTGTATCACTACTTTCATAACAGTTTTACCCCATTTGACTTCTTTAATTGCGTCTTCTCGGGTAAGTAGTGTAACATTCTAAATTTTTAATCCTATGTTAATGACTGATTAGGAATGAATTAGTGATTTAATAGGGATTAGGTTTCTGAGTGGTGAAGTGTTATATTAACTCATTAGGATGTTATGTGAACAGATATGAGTAGAAGAGCAGAGTTTCAAAGCAAAGTATATGAGCATAGTAAGGATTTCCCTCACTGTACCATACGACGCGGCTGCGGATAGATGTGTCGTGGTGCATGGAGCAGAAATCAAATTAATATGGATGTGTTTGCTCATGGAAACGGAAAGGGAGATCTTGAGATAAGAGTTCTGGTGTAGAGAAGAGTAAGGGTTGTGCTAGGGAAAGCATAATCAGGAGCAAGAATGGTGTTTCTAACCTGTTACTTATCAAGTAAGTCACATATTGCCTTAACCTCTAATTCTACCCTATTTTCTTTTAGTTTTAACTACTGAGAAATTGAATTTGGGAGTTTTGAGGAGTTTATTTCTTACCCTATAGTAATAGAAAGGTTCTTCAAAACTAAACTAATACTTTGTAACTGGTTAAAGTTGAAACGATAAAACTTTGAAGCTATAGGTAAGATTTACCCCAATCTAGAGAGAGTAGTGAGAGAAAAATTGTTAGAAAATGTTAAAGCTTAAATTGAGGGGTAATCAATGATAATATGTGTAATTGAGTGTGAAATGTAGAGTTGATAGCAATTAAGTGCTTAAATGTGATGATTGGCACTTTTTGTCAATAGTGAAATTGACTCTAAATGCCAATTCTATGTAGATTCTAGTATGTGACACATGAATTATGAGAAAAGAGCTTGAATAGGGTTGAAGTTACATGGGTAACCCTTTCTAGTAAATAGAAGGGTTGAGGTAACCATATAGTTTATTATATTTATTAACTATTATAATTGTGTAGAAGTAATTATAAATAAGAAAGTTGTTGTTTTATGAGTTTTATGAATGATTTGATATCGTAAATGATTTTAGCATGAAAATCAATTTGTAAAAATGCTTTTGATTTTGATTGATATGTATATACTATGTATAAAACTGTGTGATGTGGAAATGTGAAGAAAAGTAGTGGAAATTGTGAAAATGCATGATCATATGGGGTGGGAGTTCACCCAAGATATGTGGGGATGTGTGTGTGTAGAGATACATGAGTGAAAAATCTATATGGTTGGGCTAGCACCATGGGACATCCGATGCAACAATATACGGGTTGTTACTATATGTAATTTAGTATAGCATATTATGGAACTGTTATCATGGAACATCTAGGCAGTCTAGCAACTCCTTAATGCTCGTTAAGGTGCGGTTAGGAGTCAATGACGCCTCTATCACAAGTGTGTGAAGAGGGAAATCATAGTCCGTAAGTGGGTTAGATTACCTTTGGTCAGGTGTTTCAACCACCGAAAGTGTGCTTGAGTTAGCAAGTGGTTAATTCAGAAGAGTCTATGGTTTCATGTTGAGGAGCATTGAAGGTTTAATGGCTAGATGCTCATGCTAATGTATGTGTGTGGAAATACTCTTGAAAAGATGATACTTCATCATACTTTGATATATATGTAACATTACTTTATTTTCATTACTTTAACATGGTTATTTGTGGTAATAGGCATTAAATGAGTTATATTTAGTTACTAAGATTTTTATCTCACTCATGGTTATTCACATTTTTTAGGTTCTGGTACTAGCAGGTTAAAGAAAAAGGATATAGGCTGAGTTGACATCTCTCACCTAAGTCTTTGTAAGATATGGTGTAATGATTTGTAAAATTATTAGCCAAGAATATATATAAGTTGCCATAGAACTTATACATGTGCATATTATGGTATTTGATGATTTTGAACTCCCTAGCCCTTGTATATGTGTGGATGATGAAATGATTGGATGGGTTAGTGGAAGAATGTATGTGTGTGAATATGTGATGCTTGAAGTAGATAGATAGTGAATTGTCCTTATATAGGATTAAAGAAAAGAAATTGTGATTTTGGCCCAAAGTGTGAAATAGGCGGTTTACATGCCAAATATGTGTATGTGTGATATATCATACATATGTGTAGTCAATTAGGTGTGTATTGTCCATTTGGATATGGTCAAGGCCCAAAAAGTGGCTAATGACCTTTAGTTTCGAATTGAGACACTTAAGTGGCAAAATTTTCGCAAAAAATGGTCAAAATAAACTTGGGTGTCCAATTTTTGATAGAAATATCAGATTGAGATGAAACTAGTGTCATTAGTTAGATTTTAAAACAAGCTTTGTATGGGTGCTTGGACCATCCCAATCGAACATCGTATGAGAAAATGGCGAGCATTTGAATTTCATATCAGAAACTGCCATTTGACAGCAAATTTAGGTGTGTGTGCCATGACATATGTAGCTGCATGCCATGGTGCACAGCACAGAGCGAGCAGCTGTGGCCTTTACGCTATATGTCGTGACACATGTGGCACAAGCTGTGGCGCGAGGTGCCAGATTTCACTTAATTTATTTTAAAATGCACATGTTTTGTTGGATTTAAATGTACCATTAGAGATTTCTTTCGCTGTGTGTATAAAGTTTTATACTTGAGTAAGTTATAAAATAATCTCTGAAAATCTTTTATTGGCATCCCAAGATTTTCAATGTTTTTCAAAGTAAAAAAGAATTGATTTGATTTAGAATGATCATAGTAGAGTGCATGGTAATGTCGGTAAAAGGGCATTATAAGTAGAGCATTATTACTCTTATCACGGGAATTAGTTGGGGTGGCCATTTACCTACAAGAAAAATTAAACAAAATAGTAACTTACTAGTCTCAATAAAAGAGTAAAATAAAAGTAAATTTTTAGAAATATTATAAAACAAATATCTTAAAATTGTTGAGACATTTTTTTCTTTTTTTTTCTTTTGTCTTTTCTTTTGTGTGTTCTACATATCCCTCATCAATCCAAATCCCTTCCATGTGATCTTCTCTAATGTAAAAGACATTATCCCTAATTGAAGCATCAAGTGTACGTGATGTCCCTATAAAAGGATCATTCTCAACATTGAAATCTTTACCATCTTCATTATCAGCTATTTTATTTGTTAAAAGAACAATTGGCTATTTTTTTTTTTTGCACTAGATTTGACACGAAGAACACCTATCAAGCTTGCGATACTAAAATGAATGATTCATCTTTAAAACCCACATTATTAAGATTTACTTGAATGAAATGCAACTCATCATTAATTAAAAGGCCAGTTTTATTATCATCCCACTTGCAATAGAAGATCGATTCACAGAACTTGATATGATCTAACTCCCAAATGTGCTCTATCACCCTAAAATAATTCATCTTTGCATAAATAGGGTTCTTGTCTTTAAAACTACAAACATGCATTGATTGAGCTACAAGCGTTACACTACTATTTTGCATAGTACTCCGAGGATCTTGATTTTTCGTGTAGAATGTGATGCCATTAATTACATAACCTTTATAAGAAAATACTTCAAATCCAGCACCCCTAGCCAAGAATCCCAACATTTCTTAAGGTTGGGACTCCTTAGTGATGCGAGCTCTAAACCAATTTATAAAATGCTAATTGTGATATGTTATTAATTAACTTTCATACTTACCCTTGTTTTGACTCCTAACAATTGCTATGTGTTCTTCAAAATATGGCTCAACCTCCTCAATGTTGCATAAAACATATAAATGAACTTCTTCCCATTATGTCTTATCTATGCTAATGAGTTTTTTCCTAAGTATTCCACCACGTTCACCTGTGATATCCTTTGTGTACTTTGACAACCCAACGACATCCATATTGGAGAGATATCCAGTGCACAATTTAATTGCTTCTTCCACGATATACCTCTCAACAATACAACCCTCTGGCCAACTTTAATTTTTCACATATCCTTTTAATACCTTCAAGTAATGCTCTATCGGGTACATCCACCTCAGATAAGTTAGGCCACACAACTTTGTCTCTTTAACCAAGTAAAATGACAAGTGAACCATGATGTCAAAAAACAAAGTTGGAAAATACATTTCAAGCTTACACAAGATCTTAGCTATTTCATGCTCTAATTTAGGCAAGTTCTCTAGGTTAATCACTTTGCTACAAATTCCTTTAAAGAAGAAACAAAGTTTGGTAATAGTTTCATGAATCTTCTTTAGCAAAATGGAGCATATACCTACCACAATAGATTTTTCATAATAATATGGCAGTCATGAGTCTTCATACCCTCTAGTTTGAGATCTTTCATAGACATGAGCTACTGATATTTGAAGAGTATCCTTTTGGTACTTTAACTCCAAGTAAAAATTTATAGAAGGCATTTATCACCACGGCCTATTTCTTTTTCATCTTGGGGTTCCATTAAAATGAAAGCAAGCTGAAATATAGACATAAACCAAACATGACCATTAAAGGAAATGACATAAACACGACAATAAAGAGCAAAGAAAAGTAAGACTTGGTCACTCTGTCTGACGCACGCTGAAAGCAAGGAACAGGGCAAAACTGAAAATGCACAACTGAAGATGAAATATAGACATAAACCAAACTCTCATTCTCATTGCGTTTGACACACGCAATACAGAGCATACAATATTCATGTTTGAAGAAAGAAGATGTTAATAGTAAGGAATAGGGCAGAATTGGAAACACACGATTGAAGATGAATGGAAAAACACAACAATGAAAAAGCTTACCTCTTTCACCAGCATAGGTGAACTCAAGATGAATTAGAATGATAATGAAGCAGAACCGAAAAAGCTTTGGCCATAAAAGCAACATGTTGTTTCTCTTATTCTCTACCGTGACATTCATAGAGCATCAGTGTGACCGAAGATGACTGGAAAAACAAGACAATGAAAAAGCTTACCTCTTTCACTAGCACAGGCGAGCCGAAGATGAATCAAAATGACAACTGAGCAGAACCAAAAAAGCTTTGGCAATGGCCACCACCACGACGTCTCTTGTTCTCCACAGTGGCGTTTATAGAGAACTAGCATGAATAACCTATTTCATGTTTCACTTCTCCCAGTCCACGGTGTTCGTCCAGCGTGTCAATTTTTTTTCTCTTTGGCTTCTAATTATTTTACACTAACAGAGTTTAGAAATATGTTAACTTTTAATAGTGTTAAATGGAAAAGGACTAATGGGCTTAACAGTTAAAAATATAAGGGTTTGATTACAACAATTGAAAGTATAGGGACCTGATTCAAAACTAAGGTAAACTATAAGGACCCACAAAGATATTTTCCCTAATTTATTTAATTGATAATTTTAATTACTACGACATATTTTTTAATAAATAAAATTAGAGAGCTATCATTTTTTTAGCTTCAAAACGCCACATCTATACTCTCTTATTGGCTTAAAATTCTATTTTATCATATTAAATAATTACTTTATTATAATTTATTTATTTAGTGTTTATAATTAATATGTAGTAATATTTAATAATCAAATGAAGAGAGGTGGCATTTCCAAACTTGGAAACACCACCCCTCTTCTTCATTCAATATATAATTAAATTTTTATAAAATAAAATTTTATTTTATTAAAATTTATTTAATTAATATTAATTATTAATATATATTATTTACCAATTAAAAAACAATAGATGTGGTGTTTCATCTCTGCTTTGTTATTGATTTAGTATTTTTTTTATCTTGTTAAATACATAATTCAATATATTTTATTTAATTGACAATTTTAATTAGTACAACATATTGTTTAGTAAATAAAATCATAGAAGTTTCAAAATGCCACATCTATACTCTCTTTTTAGCTTAAAATTTTGTTTTATCATATTAAATAATTATTTTATTATAATTTATTTATGTAGCATTTATAATTAATATATAGTAATATTTAATAATCAAGTGAAGAGAGGTGGCTTTGCCAAACTTGGAAATACCACCTCTCTACTTGATTCAATATTTAATTAGTTTTTTATAAGATGAAATATTATTTTATTAAATTTTATTTAGTTAATATTAATTATTAATATATATTATTATTTAATGATTAATTCACCCCCTTTGGGTGCTAGCCTATCCTACATCGATTAGCCTCTAACAATTTCTAAAACAATTTGAAAGCTCATGTCATGAAACTAAAAATGACAAGATAAATTAAATTAATTAGGATACCATTGAACTCACCTTTGTACATAAGGCACCAGGAATAATGTCCTTGTATTAAGGTTCATTGCCTCGAAATACTTTATTAATGTTTGAGCTTGGCCATGCCACACCTCTCATGAGGATAGATAAAGACAAACTTTGATAAAAGGTCACTAAGGACAATATAATTTTTATATAGGTATCTAAATGAAAAAAATAAACAAAGTTTTATATTAAGTTTAAAATAAAATAAAAGTTCATATAAACAATATGTACTTCATATAAAAGTGAACCACATACCAATTGCATAATTCCATTACAGCGGCATTTTGTGTGGATATGAGAGGGAAGCAAGGGTGAGTGATTTTAGATTTTGGGTATTATGAGAAAATATTTTAAGGATGGTTTGAAATTTTTCAAGACTATGTAAGTACCCTGAAAATTTTATTTTACTTGTTTATCTTCTTATTTTTCATATTCTTGATAGTAGAAAAATTTAGAATCTGACATATTTAGAATTTTTGGATCTTTTTGCTAATAGAAAATTACTTTGAAATATTTGTAGATTTATTTTGGAGATTTTAGAAGATTTATTCTCTACGTATAAATTTCATATGATATTTGAGGACTCTTAAAATAAGGTTTGAGTCTTAGAGCAAATATCTAAGACTACTAGAGAATGTAAACTAATACTTTTGAGCTATTACAAAAAGGGTTATTGAAATTCTAATTATAGATAGACTAATTTATACAAATGGATATGTATTTAAAAGATAATTTTTGGGTTCTCTAATATAGCTTTAAATTTTAAAATAACTTCAGCGTAACGTAAAGTAGCTTTAGGATAATCTTTTAACAATTTTGGATTATATATTAACATGTTTATACATGTATGATTTATGTAGTCTCTTACTGAGACCTCTTTTTGATTGGATTTGATGTGTGACTACTTGTTAGCTCAAAGAGAACATGTAACTTGGAGTTTCTCCATGTGGGTACAAACTATATTTGATGTGGTGATTGATATAAATATGCTCATGCATAATTTTTGTCTAATTGATTATGATACCTCAAACTTGTATAGAGATAATATATATATATATATATATGTGTGACAAATTGTGGAGAAATCATAAAGAACGTGACTATGAAATTTAATGAGTTACTTTAATCCTACCCACATGATTATGGCTTATAACCATGATTCAATAAGGTATTACATTTGATTGTTGCATATGCTCATGACATTCTTTAATCCTTGAACACTTTTTTGGCAAGCTTGATAATAGTATGCTTTAGATCATCCCAGTAGGTATGAATGAAGCTAGTATTGATGCCATTAGGACCTAGAGCTTTAAACGCCCCAATCTCAAAAGTAGCATTTTTTATTTCTTCATCAGTCACCTCTTTATGAAGAGATTGAAGTTGAATGGAAGAGAGAGTAGGAAAATTTTTATCAGTAATAAGCTTAGGGTTTGACATCAGGATTGTCCTTGTAGAGATTATCAAAATAAGTAACAGTCATATTTTTCAAATTATCATGGTCTTGAACCCAAGTGTCATCTTCAGCTTGGAGCAAGAGAATATGATTCCTCTTCCTTCTAATAACGGATGTAGCATGAAATAATTTGGTGTTTTAATCCCCCCATTTTAGCCACTTGCAACTAGTTTTTGGAACCAAATCAACTCTTCTTGCAATAGGACTTGATTGTAATCTTCCCATAGAGATTTTTCTAAGTTCTTAAGAAAGTAATTATCGTTTTAGGTTCTACTCTTGTCAATACCTTCCAGACAACATAAGATTCTTTTCTTTTTGGAGGATATATTAACAATTTTATTCTTGTTCCAAAGGGGAGCAAATGAGGTGATTTTTGAGACCCCTTCATTCCAGTCATCTTTGCTCCAAGAATCTTTAACCAGAGGGTGAAAAGAGTCTTCAAGAGTTCAAGCAGCATGACATCTAAAAGGAATAATCTTGTGATTCTAGTTTTCCTTTCTAGTAAGTTGGATTCTAATTGGGCGATGGTCAGAACTAAATTTGAAAAGATGGAAGGAATCAGCTTGGTAAAATTTAAGTCTCTAACTAGTATTACAGAAAGCCCAATCCAAACGTTCTTTTAATTTACCTTTTTCCTAAGTAAATCTATCTCCATGGAAATTTAATTCTAGAAGATTAGGAGAATTTATGCACTGTCAAAGTTGTTTCATGGATTTCCAATTAAAGTTATCACCACCAGATTTGTCTTCATAAGAAAGATAGGCATTAAAATCTCCAACAATAAGCTAAGGCTCAAAATTATTTTGAGCAATAGAATTAATAGAATCCTAGAGAAGATCATGGCTAAAAGGATTAGGATTACCATAAACACAATAAAGCATATAATAGTTATTAGTAGATTTAAAATTGACCTTGTAATGGAGAAGTTGAACATTAGAATAAATATAATCAATATTAACAATATAATTATTCCATAAAAGCCAAATGCCTCCAGCATAACCAGTTGTTTCAACACAAATCCAATCAGAAAAGCCTAATTTTTTAACAATATTATTAGCTCTAGAGCCACTAGCTCTAGTTTCTAAAAAAATAAAAATTTGAGTATTATAAGTAGCAATTATTTCTTTAATGTGTTTAGGAAAGCGTTTAGCACAAGTACCCCTACAATTCCAACAAATAATATCCATAAAATAATTAAAAGGATTAGGTAAACTTGGATGAAATTAGGTATCTGTCTTCAATATCCTCATCACTGAATTCATCATCCTTTAGATTGTTGTTTTGAGCGTGAATTTGGTAATATTCATCCAGAATGTCATCTTCATAGTCTGCTGGAGAGGTGTGACCAGCATTATCTAGTCCAGTTGAATCGTTATTTGACTCCACAGCAACAGCTATATTTAATTGTGTTTTTGGAACAAAAATTTGGCTGTCTATAGTATCATAAGGTTCTCTCTGGTCAAGTTGATGATTGGAAGGGGTTGGAGAATTTTGATCAGATATTCTATGCTGACCATTTTTCCAAATAGTTAAATTTAGGGAGAAAATAAATCCTTTGTCGCTTTTAATCTTTGTAGCTTTATCATAGATGATCTTTGAGTTATTCACAGTATTAGGCCTTTCTAAAGATATCATATTCCTTTTGCTTCCTCTCACAACAGTATGATTTCTTTTAGTGGGTTTAATGGATTCAGTTTTAGCCTTCAATTCAGATTGGACTGAATTTTCCACACTAACAACATTGGGCCGTTCCAAGAGAATAAAGGCCCAAAATGCGTGAACTTGCTTCCTTTTTCCTCTCCAGTCAGTTTTTCTTTTCCTTTTGTACATTCCATCGTTTCTTCAGACTCTTGATCAATCGACCTATCCCTCTTCAGACTTGCTATTTCCTTCTTCCTCTATATTTGTCAGGCACTCTTTGTAGGAGCTGGCTGTTTAGGTCCACCATTGCTCATTCTATCTTCATCTCTCCCTTATCCGATAATTTCTTGCTTAAGGTCTACAAGTACCTCAAATTGTGTCCCAGAAGTAGGCTTAGGACCTCGATCGTGACGTATAGCTTAATTATCCGACTGATTTCTCATATTTTATGTATTTCTGGAGCATCAAGCATCACGCCAAAATCGCATGAAGTGTCCAAATTCTTCTTCTAGCAAGTTTTCGTTCATGTCCGACGGGCCTCCTGTGTTTTGAATCTGATTCTCCTTTTCTCTCTTATGATTCCTTGAAGTAAATAGATTATGGTCTGGAAATATGCTTTTACTATTGCTTTCGATCCTGCTTAGATGTTCTGGGTTTTGGTTCTTTGGATTTTAGGAATAGTAGCTTTTGTTATGCCCATAGCACCCACAACTGAAGTAGATTGAGTTGAGACTTTCATACTCCACATTATAAAGCTCATCTCTTATCAGGATTCTGAGAACAAGTTTCTTTTGTAGATCTACTTCCACACTTATTCTTACAAATTTCCCTCTTTCAGTCTTGCCATTCTTGTCTATAGAGTCAGCTTTCGATAGAGAATTTGAATCTAACTTTAATGTTTTGCCTATGCAATTGCCTATTCTACAGAGGATTTCTTTATTGTAATATTGAATAGGGATATTCAATAATCTAACCCATAAAGCAATTTTGCCTAATATATTAGAGTTGGGATTGAAAGTAGGATACCACCTCTGAACTAAAATGCAATGATCAAATATGGTCCAGGGCCCCCAGTGAGAATTTTATCATAGGCAAAAGGGTCTTTTGTTCTAACTATATAGTAGCTATTAACCAAATCAATCAATTCAAAGTCTTTAAGTTGCCACATTTTAGCTAACCTTAGTTTGAGTAATCTAGGATTGAGTTAAAGTCCTAATGTGTTGATAACTATAACATCCATCCAGGGCATACATATTTTCTTCCATTCTTCATTTGATATCTATAAAGCAGGGTATTGGTTGATCAGATTCATTGTTCTTTCAGAGGGCGTCCATTCTTTTTCTAATTCTAAAGCAAGAGATTCATTTCTTTGTTTGATTTCTCTTCCTGACTGGATTCCATAACACCCATTATAGCCTATCAGTGATTCTTTATAAGAAATGGGTATTTTGACTCCTTTAGTCAATGGTGTTGATTTGTTTTGTTGTATGTGAGTTTCTGGACTTTTATCTTGGTGAGTATTCATAAGCTATTCTTATAGTTGATTGTTTGAATTCTTTGACTGGTTCAGACAGCATTGTTGGACTTTTGTTTCTAATATCTAATTTTTTTGAGCCCTTATCTATCATTTCTTCATCAGGCTTGGAACTATTCCTATTGAGTAAATCAATTTCCTCTTTGGAAGCAAGAGGATTCATGGTTTCCTTTTGGAAGGAAGCACAAAAGATGAAATTAGGATCTAGACTTTATTTGAAATTCATGAAAGTTAGAAGAAAAAGTGTAAGGCAGAGGAAGAAGAAGAAGAACCTTCTCTCCAGGAATCTAGAGAGAAGGTGGAGCTTCTCACTCTAAAAATCTTTCATACCTAATTCCTTCTATAACATTCTAAATTTTTAACTTAGGACTTTAAGTGTTTAAAAAGGGTAATTTGGTCAAAATTGATGACTTTTTAGCTAATAGTGTTTTAGGATACTAATAGAGTTTTTGACCTATGAACAGCTTTGGAAATGGGCTAAGATGGTGAATAGATCAATCCAGTTCAATAGGTAGCCAAAAAGGCATATGGTAGATTCTGTGCCATGTGCTGTGGCACACACTTAACATCACTAAAATCTGACATTTATCAGACGCAAAATGTGTTTGATTTCAGAAAGGAGAAAGAGAGATATCAAGAGGACCATTTGAGAAGGAGCTCGTGGCTATTTGGGCATGATCCTAAGGGCACATTAAAGGCAATACGAGATTTAATCATCATGTAAGTTCCCTATTCTGTCTCCCTTTCCTTTTATGTGAATTTCTAACTTTTTGGGGGCAATGTAAGCTTTAATTTCGGTTTCCTTGGACTATAACCTAACCCATTACTTAGTTAAGATCTTGGGGAGTTAAATCAAGCCTCTAACCCTAGGTTTATGGGTTTTGTATGGATTTAAAATTTTTGTTGAGGTATTAAACGAACGCTATGTATAATTTAGGAGTTTTAAAACAATGTGAACCAATGGTTGGTGATATTAGTGTGTTTGGATGTAAAATAGAATTAATGGAGTGTATTAGAATTGGTGATGTTAATAAAATGAGATTTTTGGGTATAGTGAGTACTCAAAATTTAGTGATTTCGAGGTTTATTTGGAGTGATAGTTGATCATTATTGCTTAATTGTATAGATTAAGTGTTATTCGAGTGTTATCATGGAAGTTGAACGTGTGGAGAAAATATTAGACCATGATAACTCTTTTTGTAACAAAAGGGTTAAGATAACAACATAATTTACACTATTTGATTAAAGTGCTCAGCTGTCTATGAGTAGATATGTAAATTTTTTATATGTGATTTGCAAGCATTGCATATTGCGAAATAAGATTTCTGTGCATTTAAAATGATTTTCAAATGATGAAAACTAATGAAAGTCCCTTACATGAGTTAAGTGTAAATTGGGTACAAACATGTGTTATGTATGGGATGTATGAGCATGATCATGATGGGAGGTGAAAGTTCACCTGTAGGAAGGAGTGGTAAAAGTTCATGTATGTATTTCCTTAATACCTAGTAAGGTAAAGATTATTTCCTTAGTATCCATATGGGATACGACATTAGAAATTAACACTCCTTAGCATCAGTGATGCAGTGTTGAAGTAATGATACTTTGATTCATGAGTGATAAAGGGAAACTATAGTTTAAAAGTGGAATAGGACACATTTGGCCGAGTAATCCTACCACTGAAGGTGAGCTCAGGTTATTGTAAATGTGCACTTAGTCAAAGAGTCTATGGTTTCAGTCAGGATGATATGAAGGCTCGGATGGTAGAATGATCATGCTAAAGTGGGAGATGACTTGTGTCTGTAAAAAGGACATGTTTGAATATGATGAATGAGTATTTTAATATATATATATATATATATATAATTTACTCATTTTTAATTGTGCATGTTAATTGATAGTAGTAAATTATTCTATTATTAAGATGTTTATCTCACTCTGTAGTTATATTTTACAAGTGAGATCTCCGATAGGAGCAAGGGGAAGGAAAGGATGATAGAAGAGTAAAGAGCTTCATTTGTATAGCTCTTCCCTTTCACATTTTGGTTTTGTAATGAAGATGTCATAATATTATGCCAACTTAGGAGCATTTCATTGTTTTGCAATCACTTGTATGAGAATCTGTGAAATATGTGTGTATCTCGGTATAAAATTGTTGTGCTTGTGGTTAAATAATTTTGAATGGCTAATATACTAGTGCAAGTAATATACTTGTGTTAACTATGTGTTGGAATGACTAAAATGATGTTTATGCTGAATTTTATCCACCCTTTATTATTGAAAATTGTGCCCTAGGGCCAATCATTGTACTATGAACATTGTTATTTAATGAATTTCTCTTTTGTTATCATGTTAATTGCATGTTCACTATGACAATTGTATCCTTGGAGAAACTATAGTGATTGTTCTAAATGGCCTTGGTCGGTCATCTATGAGAGATCATAAATGAAACAAGGCTAGTATGACTTTGATTAATTATAGAGATATAAATCAAAGCCATAGGTACTTGAAAGACTATAAGGTGCTGGACTGACTCGCTATAAGAAAGCTGTATGATATAAGTTATAAGCTTATCTCATATGTAACCATATCACCAAGCCCTTTGACATGAGATCATCATAGATTCCTACATGATGACTACTTTACATTGACCTAGTTAAAAGTAACATTTAATCGAGTGAACATAAAAGCTATGATTGAGTTTAGTGATATTCATACTAAAAAATATAAGTGGTCAAGATGGAATTTATCCCTCACATTAATTGAGAGCTATTACAAAGTCACTCGATGAGTAAGACTAAAAAAATGTATAGCTATGCTAAAATGGAAAGGGTTTTTATATCAGTCCACTCAGAGATCAAAAAAGTAACGGTCAGGTAAAGAAGAATAAGAATTCCATGTGTCATAACTGACTGAAATATCATGCAACAAAAGAGATATGATATGGTTATGTGATAGGTTGCATCGGATCATCGATCCCCATATAAATGGGATAGTTACAATGTCTTGCTAGAGACCACTTGTGACTTGTAGGCTAGTAGCATGATTAGCCTACTACCAACTTCATATGGGTCTACAGAGTCGCACACAAGAACAATCCAACTCAAGCTAAAATGTCCAAGTTCATTAAATATAAAGTGTCTAGATTTAATGAATATAATACTTTATCTAGAATTAATGAATTTTATATATATATATATATATATATATACATATATTTGAATATTGATTTGATATATATATGTATATATATTTTTTTGAAATATATATATATATTCATGTGTGTGTATCTGATATATATATATATGTATGTATGTATGTATGTATGTATATGATATATAAAATTCAAGATATAATATATATATATATATATATTCGAAATGTGTGTGTATGTGTGTATTTTCATGTATACATATATATTATATAATATAATATAATATATATATATATATATATGTATTGTATTGTATTGTGTTAGTTTTAAATTTAATTTTATATGATAAATTAAATTTCATAACTAACATGATATGAGAGAATATCATATAGGTTCTATAATTTGAATTTATGAGATAAATTTAATTAAATTTTCATTAGCTCATTAAAGTAAGACCAAAAACCCTAATCTATAAAGGGATATATAAGGGGACGTGCTACTAGTGATAGAGTCAAAAAGAGTCCTGATGGCCAAACATTTTGAGAGCCACGAAACACCCTAGAGAAAAAGAAAAATGACGTGCAAAAGGACTAATGGACATTGAAAGCGCTAGCACGATGTTTGAGTTAGAAAGTTGTTCGCGTGGAGACTGATAGAGGGAGAAGATATACATTGTCAGCTCTTGAATTCTAGATCCTTGTGAAATAACAAGTGAGAATTTGAAAATTAAAATGTAACTCTTCTATCCACCTTAACTTTAACGAGTTCGTTCAGTCCATATCGGAATAGTGATTTAAATTTTTAATCTTCTATTGTACCTCTTTATCCAACACTTATGGTTGTTGTGAATTTGGAGTTTGGTGGTTATTTTGTATATGGATGGTTATTATTGTGATATGATTAGCCTATTATGTTGTGTGTAGTCCATTTGAGTTAGTCCAAGTAATTTTAGGGCTATTAGCACTAAGTTGTGTGATTTAGACACTCTTGAGTGTGTTTTAAAGTAAAAACTGACCATTTTGAATTTGAGTGTTCAACTTTTTTATGGTTGAGAATTTGGGTGAGATCAGTGCTAATAGTTAGAGAGCTTGAAGACTTATGTGTAGACACTTGAACCGCTCAAATCAATCGTCGAATAGTGAAATGGTGCACTCCAAAAGTTGGTTTGGGGTGCTGTCATGACAGCTGGTGTGCACTGCTACGCATTTGTCTAGTGAGAGCATGGCTCTCTGTGCCATCTATCGTGGTGGAAGGAGGCTTGCACTGCAGTGGACAAGCAAAATTCTAAAATTTTCCATCTTTGCCTGAAGTATGCTTTTAAGTGCTGATATATGTTTCCATGCTTCCATTACCTTGTTAATTTATTTTAAACCACAATTTGAGCTCAAACGACTTTTTAAAAAGAATTTGCTCGAGATCCTTATATTTTCAACTACTTGTTTTTAAATTCTTTGGTTGTGATGACTTTTAATTGGGATTTTAATTAATTTTGGTTATCACAATGATGTATTCAAGTGTTGTTCCGGTAATATCAAGACAAATATTACAATTTACCTTTAAAAAAATAAATTTGAGAATTGGTTTTAAATTTTCATACCATGGTAATCATTTTTAATATAGGTTTAACTTTTTATTACCATGGTATTTTGGTTAAGTTTTTGGTAAGGTTTGGGTGTTACATCTAGTCCTTGTCGACATTGACAATTTGGTCCCAGTTATAGCTGGTGGTTCGCTCTCAACGAATGTTAGCCGAAGGCAACAATGTCGAAGTCGATAAGATAGTAAACTTGATGAACCCATGTGAAGGAAGAGAAAAGCTTTCTATAGAAATTTAAAATAACAAAAGTTTAAAAAGGATTTGAAATTATAGAAGGATTGAAGAAGAATTGAGATTTGGATTTGGGTCAAGTCTAAATCCATACATTTTTAATTACCCAAACAATGGATTTGACTTAAATCCAAATCCAAATCTACATGCATCCAAACATTGTATAAGGTTATTTTAAATTGATATGAACAATTATGGAGTTGAAGCTGTCTCCTATAGATTACCCTTGCTTACAGAGGAACCAAATGAATACTTCACTGCAGAAACTGTTGAATTAAATGATAATGAAGGCATAGATTATTAGCACAGGTTAAATAAATTGAATCTTCTAGCGGTGCTCTAACGTGTTACCCAAGTCTGTGCCTTTGTTGGGGTGATTCATATTATTAATTCATGTTATATAGATGCAGGCATATTTGGATCAGAAAGTAACTATTCACTCTGGGAAGTAGTAATTTCTTCTGGTTTTACAAAGTTTGTTTTTGTAAATAGCTGTTGTTTTATTGTTGTTAGGAAAGTTTTTTCTATTACTTTGCTTCAAGTTCAGGCATGGAACCTAGTGGAATTTAAATATTTGCCTCTACAAATTCAGAAATTGATTCGGTTAATATAATGGTTCTGATTTTCTTTTCTCTATTTTATTACAATATAAATGATTTTCGATGGGCTTTTCAAGATTATCATTTCACCTATACTGTGATTTTTTTCAGGGCAAACAACGGTAATGGGAAATCTTGCTAGTTGGTTATGTCTAGAATTGAAGACAATTTAAACAGAGGGATGAGACAATATTGCAGTAATATAAACTGCTCTAGGCGTTTGATTAATGTCCATTGTAAGGGGGGAAAAATTGACATTGTTTTCTGCTGTTTGTTCGATATGCACTGTAAAGAGTTGATCTTACAAGTAAATTCTAGTTATCTAATGGTGTATGTTTGATGTATGTTGGAAAGAAGTTGGCATTCTTAACAATATTGCAGCAACTCACCTATAATTTGCATCAATGTCAGGGATTTGCAGCTTTAGGTTCCTCAATCTGCAACTAGTAACCTTATTTTTAATTTGAAATATGAAATTTAATATAAAAATTTAAGATGAGAAATGACTTGGTCAATCCAAGAAATTTGCAACTTCTACTCTTATTTGCAACTTAATTTTTTTTTTTTTAATTTGCAAGATTCTCTCCCTTTTAATTTGAAATCAGAAGTTTAAATTAAAATTTTATGATGCGAAATGATTTGGAAAGTTCTAAGGATTTGCAACCGCTACTCTTTGATTTTCAGCTTGAAGTTCCATAATTTGCAAGTAGTGTTTTATTTTTAATTTGAAATATGAAATTCAATTTAAAAGCTTAAGATGAGAAATAACTTGGTCAATCCTACAAATTTGCAACCTTTACTCCTTCATTTGCAACATGAAATTCTTTAATTCGCAAGCAACATCGCATTTTTAATTTGGAGTCAAAACTTCAACACAGGAGTTTAAGACCAGAGATTACTTGGGGAATACTAAGGATTTGCAATCACCACTCACTGAATTGCCACTTAGAGTTCCTCAAGTTGGAAGTAATATTTCCGTGTTTAATTTGAAATAAAAACTTGAAAATAAAAGTTTAAGATGACGAACAACTCGGTGAACCAAAAGGATTTGCACCTACCACTTGCAACTTGAATTTCCTTAATTTGCATGTGATGCTTTCATTTGTCATTTGCAATCAAAGTTTAAATGATAAATGACTTGGTTAGCCTCAAGGATTTACGACTACCAAGTTTCTTAATTTGCAAGCAGCACTCCCATTTTTAACTTGGAATCAGAAGCTCAACATGCATCCTTCCCTTTCTTCATCCTGAATCCTCCTCTCTCTCTCTCTCCCTCTCCCTCTCTCTCTCTCTCCATATATATATATATATCTTCTCCCTCCGTTCTCATCTGAAATCCAAAACTTACATACAAACATCCTTCCCGTTCTTCCTTGGTTGGCTTAATTTTACTCTTTTCGTCTCCTTCGCAATCATGCCTTCTTCACCAACCACTATCTCCAAATGCACCATCTATCATATCAAAACAAAAATCCCCACTTAAAGCTTTCAAGTTTTCTGTTTCTAACCTCCCCATACTTTCCTACCATAACATTCATAAGGCTGCTTTGCTTCTGCAAAGGTGTTATCCTCTTCCTCATTTTGTTTATAAATTTTGGTTTTTTATAATTGAGGGCAGTGAAGGGAGTGTGTATTTGTCTTATAATCATTTAAGAGCTCACGGGACTTTGTCGGCATTTGAGAACATCCTGGGACTTTATTGGCATTAAATGGCTATCTTGGGACTTACATGTCATTCTCCCTAACAACAATTTACTGCAACCACTAGATCATCAAAATGGCCAGATGCAAAGAGAACAAGGCAGACAGACACAACTATAACTCATTCCATCCACAACACTTCTCTATTTTACTTCAAACTAAATACGACCATTCAAGTGAGATTTTGATAACTAACAAGCATCGGGGAAACAATTAATAAACAAAAGGAATAAACCTGTACTTAACTTTGCTTGCATATTCTGTGTACCTCTGGCCAAAAGCCTCAACCATCAAAGCCTCCTCCTGCACTGCCTTCTGCCTGTAGTACAACAAACAAACTGCCACAACAAATAGCAGGCTCAAAGGTGCTCGGAGGGCAAGGCAATAAGTAACAAACAGAAGCATGGTTGATGAATATATCGGATGACGGATCCAGCGATAAGGTCCGAATTGCACAACAGCAGTAGGTACAATCACCTTTTCAGAATACTTTGACAGGTACAACGTGGCATTATACTGCATCAGCAGAGTTACTATAATTAATGTCCAGATACCAAGGTTATTCCATCCGCCTGGAATTTGGTGAAGCTCTGGCCCTTCAAATGCTGCAAGCCAATGGCCGACCATGATGCCAACACTGAACAAAAGGCGATTCCACATTGGCAGGTTCACATCCCATTTAGGGTCATGGGGGCGCAGGTAATAATCTCCATATAATCGCTTCCTAACAGTAACACTGAAGAAAAAGAAGTAATGGTAGACAAAGAAGAAGACAAAAGGCCAACCTTCAAGGTAGCCATTGAAATATGCAGAAGGGGCAAGAGTGAGGCAGGTAAAAATTGAAGTAACTATAGCCAGCTGTTCAAACATGGTTGCCTCACCATGAAGGTGTTTCCAAAAACAGTATAACCCATAAACTGCAACCACAAGGGCAACCATCCACGGCCAGAACAACCAAGTCCAGCTGAAATACATCCAGAAGAAGGGGTTGAAGAGTGTATTCAGAGTCCATTTTGAGATTGCAACGATAACAGATAATATCCCAGACCACTTTACAATATCAATGGGAGTCAATTGTATCAGGATTGACTTTATTGAATCAAAGGAAAGGTTTGTCAGATGCTTTAGGATTGGAGTATGTGATTCTGAATTGGCATTACTAGAAACTGATAATCTGGGAGGAGATAACAAGTTACTCCTTTTTCTTAGTTTTGGCAATGCAGAAAAACGGTTTGAATAAAGAGTGCAACTCAATGGAAAACCATTGAGATTTGATTTTGAGCAGCATTGAAAAGTATTATTGATAAGGGCATGATCATGGGTATATCCACTAAAAGTTCTCAGAGAAAGTTTATTGCTAACAATAGAGAAATCAAAAGGGGCTCTCCTGGAGTGGGAGAGAATTGTTGCTGCTTCCATTACTGATTGAAGAAAACTAGCAATGGCTATCCAGCACTAAAATCATGCAGTTAGAGCATCACTACCTGTTGAAGGATGAATATGAAGTCAACAAACCATCAAACTCATATCCTTTGGCTCACCAAGTCATGAATCATGCCAATAGTAAATATGACGTAAGGACATATGAAGGGAAAACTAATTGCTTTATGCTAAATTCTCTGTCTGTTTTTTTGCAGATTCAACCACTTTCATGAATATTGTAAATGAAGTGATAATTTGATCTCTAAAGAAAACACAAACAGCAAACAACAGTGAATTCACTCCTGCCATCACATCTTCAGTTAAACCGTCTCCTATTTTAGTCATAAAATTATGCCAGACATTGATAATCAACAATTCAAAATGCATATGAGAAATTATATATGTTTATATTACATTTTGGAAATAGTATGAAAATCCAATTAAAAAACTCTGCACCCATTTTATGATGGCGTTGCATGAAACAGCTTTTTGAAAGCATACTGGCACAGCATTGCCACTCCATATTCAAAGCATGATTGTTAGAGGTAGGAACAAGTAAAACTTAGCGATTAATGGCGTTTACAATAAATACTTGACACCAGTTCTTTTGAATATTATCATGGACGCTCATGGCCAAAAAAGAAAACTTCACGTAATATACCAAGTTCACCCCAATTCATCTTTATTAAAGTCACATATCCCAACGTGCGTGTACACCTATAGCAGCTGTCAGGCAAATGATCGAAAACCTAGTGCGCATCGCTAAACCGAGGTGCTCTTTGTAACTAGTAATTGATTTCGATTCCAATTTCCAAATACCGAAAGTAAATAGAGAGCTCACTGTATCGTCTCACTCTTCAGGATTTCCTTAATTAAAAGTCCCCAGTTAATCACTAACCGAGTAGCACTTCAACAAAAGGAGAAAAAGAAAGGCCATACCTTTTTGAGTTAAAAATCGCAACTCAATCCACAATAGGAGTAAAAAATGGACCTACCCGGTAAAAAGAAACTGAAGTTCAGCTCGTTAGAGAAGAATGATGCCACGAAGGATAGAATTTGAGCATCAACTCACTAAGATATTCGTCACTTGGAACTTGTTTGAGACATGGAGGACGAGATGTCTATCACCTCTGTTGAATCCCAATTCCAAATACTAAGAAGAGCAGAGTAGATGAGAGACCAGGCAGCTCAACCTAGCACAGTGAGTTCGACGGGCAACGGACTGGAAAACCGAGAAGCAAGAACACGGTGAGGGATGACGGAGTTGGACGATTGAGGACGCTGAGCAATCGAGTTCTCCGAGAGGGTGGCGGCGGTCTGAGGGCTGAGGATAGGGAGACAGACGGGTGCGTGACTGATCTTCGGTCGGAGCTGCGATGCGCGTTTCAATGTAAATATTAAAAAATTGAACAATACCTGTTGGTCTGAAACCCGGGCCTCAGCCCACTTTACTGGGTTTAGCAGGCTAGGAGAAGCCCGATTACATCAAGAATTTCTGATTTTTAAAATCCACATATTTATAAAAAGGGATTTAAAAATCAGCTGCTCGTCTTACTCCGGTATTCTCAACAGATTTGAATTTTATGATTGTATTCAATGCACATACTGAAACTTATATTATCTGAATCATTAAAATTTAAATCAATAATTATAAATTTATATGTCACTTAAAATTAATGAATAAGTGAGTTTATTTAAACCATTAATCTGGATTTCAATATCTTAGATGGTTTATGCACTCAATGATTGTACTAAGTACAGTCACTAAATTCAAATCTATTCTTCAACTCTAATAACTAACTGTTAGCATCATCTTACTCATTTTCTAGAATCAAGAAATGCGCATGGCTAGCTCATATAAATTTTAATTTTAAAGCATATTTTAAAATTTAGATTTAATTTAAAAATTGATAACAAAAACAATTCTTTTTTAGGGTAAAATAAAAATGGGCCACCCATGCCTGTTTTTACAAGGTCTAAATGGGATAAGCTTAAAAGTCCAATTATACTAAAATTTATTAATTTTTCAAACTCGAACCTTAATAAAAAAAATAGATTTAAATGAATGGCTTGTCAAACCTAGTCTATATTCCTGGTTCATAGGTTAATCCGTTGTCCAAGCCTGCTTCTTTTTGTTCTATTGACTCAGCATGCTCATACTACCCAATTCAACCAGGCATGGTTAAACATAGACGATAAAGTGAGAATTTCATTTAAGGACTAGAGAGACTTATTCACAAATCAAACCTAATAAAATCTAAAACTACACTACAATATCAAAAGATTAAATTGAAATTATCTTTTATTGGAAATGACCAAAATTTCCTTCATTTATTTAAAAGAAAAAACCACTAGCTATAATGTCCCTTCCAACATTACCAAACTATAACACACATTCTGCATATGTATATATTAAAGGTTTGGGATCCCAAAACTCTTTGAAAAATAGTTCAAATCATCAAAAATACATATTCATGCACAACGGAAGTATCTAAATTGCACAATTATCACATTTTGGGAAAACAAGGAAAAACAGTCATATTTGCCTAAAAAAGGCCATATGTTACGACATATGACACATGTGCCATGACATGTGATACAAAAACATAAATTCACACTTTATGCCATGCACTGCAACATGTGCATCATGTGCCACGGTGCACATATCAATTTCTACTGTCAAAATAGCTCAATTGACATAAATTTTCGGCATGTGCCATTTTAACATATGATATCCAATTGAGGTGATTTAAGTACCTACACAAACTTACTTGACAAACTAACTAATAACATAGGTTTCTTTTCAATCCAATATTTCATTTAAAAATTAAACACTCAAATGCAAATTGATCAATATATGTCATTTTCACTTGCTCAAGTATCCTAAAACCCAACCATGTGTCATTAACCACTTGTAAATCCTTGACCACGTCCAATGAAACATTTATCACCTGATTGAACAATCATAAAATCAAAATCACATACAAAAATGTTTGGCCACTGAATTGCCCAATATCACACACAACAGGGCTATTTTCACATTTTCACACACATATACCCTCTTAGCCAAACTTCAGACATATATCAGTTGCAAACGTGTAAATATGCACTTGAAATATTATCTTAGCCCTCTTTAACAAAATTTATCACATATCACACATTTACACATTCCAAAGCTAAGTTATACAAAGTTACACAAGTGCATCAAAACTATATGTATATGCAATCCTATGGTAATTTATCTATATAACAACAATTGTAAATAGTCAAATTCTTTACACCGACTTTGATGGGCTATCAATAGTCCACACTACTCTTGGCCCGACTCTTTCCCTCAACTACTCTTAATGTCAAAACCTGTAAAATGATAACTATCGATGAGATAAACATCTCAGTAATCAAAATAGTTTATCACTATCTATTAATAGTAATAACAATAAATAAGTAAAAAAAATGATTGCATTATTTTCACTAATACTATGCATGCATGCATGTATATATCTCCATTTTCACCCAACTATAACATCTTGGTTTTTAATTCTCTTGATGTATTAAGCTTAATTAGGATAATTGAGTAAATTACAGTGCTGTTATGGTTAGGGAGGTTAAATAATCATATTTGATTATATTTCAAGCCTAATTATGGATCTAGTATCAAGTCGGGCCACCCAAGCATTAAAAGGAGAAGAAAATAAAGGGTTAGTATTGTTGTGCCACACGTCGTAGTGTGGAGTGCATCCACCGTGACACACAGACACTCTAATTATAGAATAAGGACCTCTTTGTGCCATGTGCTGTGGCACATGGTCATTTTCTATAATTTATCAATCATGAAACTGAAAAAAAAATAGAGAAGAGAGAAAGGAGAAAACGAAGAGGCGTGCCAAGCTTTAATGGGGTTTGTTCTTAGACAACATTGAGAGTGTTTTGGAAGCTACAAACACCCAAGGTAAGTATCATGCCTCTTAATCTCCCATTTTCTTCCACATTATGAAGTTTATGGTTAAGGTTTAATAGTGAAAGATGATTTTTGATCCATATAGGCTATGGGTCCAAATCTATTGACTCAAATAGAGTTAATGGGAGTAGATTAGAATATTTAATCCTAGGTATAATGAATTTTGGTGTCTTGGGTGGTTGGGTTCATAAATATCCAAAAATTTCATTAATGTGGGTTGTTGGAAGAATGTGATGCCATTAATGGGAGTTTAATAGCTTATTAATGTTAATGGGGACCAAAGATAATTAATAAACCCAATTGATAGGCTCAAACTCATGTAAAGTGGGCATTGGGCAATTTAGAAGTAGAGAAATAAGAGATGAATGCTTAAGTTTGACAATATTAATGGATATCAACTTGTTAAATTATAGAGTGAGCTCTTAGACACCTATTTGGCTTAGGAATTCAAGCTTAGAAGTTATTATATTGAGGGGTAAACCTTTAACCTCTCAAAAGTTTGAGGTAACCAGAGGAACCCTATTTTGGATAATTATTTATTAATTTTAATATGAGGTGAATTATGTACTAAATATGAAAATTGTGATTTGTGAATGGTGTAGCATGCAATGGAATTTGGTAATTATATAATTGCATTTATGTGTATGAATCATGTGAAAAATGCTTGTGAAATGATTGGCATTTTTATAATGTGATTTGGGATGAGTAATTGATGATGAAATAAATATATGAGATTAAAAATGATAGGTTTTATATGATATAAGTGAAAATAAGAATTGATGCTCACTTGGGTAGCACTTGATCATGAGCCCAATGTGTTGACTTTGATATTGAATAAATGAAAATGTGAAAATGAGTGAGCATCATATGTGGCGTGATCAATAGGAAAGAGGAGTTTGCCTAGGGATTGGGAGTAGATAAAAATTCATATGGTATTTATGATGCCCTTCAGTGCACAGAAGTATAGCCTTGTCCCATAATTTGTCGAGAGACTGTCCCATAATTTGTTGAGGGATTAGAAACTAGCTTTCTCTATCAGTGCAATAAGGAGAATAGCCTAGGGTATGAGACACTTCAAAGATTTGAGAGTGTGAAAAACCATAGTTCAAGAGTGAGTCATGTTCTTTGGCCGGGTCACACCTCACGATTGATGAGCTTGGATAGTCCAATCATATGGACAGGGCGCTATTCAGTGTTATAGCTAACAGTTTCAGTCTGAAAAAATAAGGAGAATATAAGATTAGTTAATCATTACCTATGTAAATATATAACGTGTCATATGATTACAATATGGCAAGTCGCCTGGATAATGGGTTATGGTCACATGTTAAATGTATTGTGACAATACACCAAGTATATGTGAGATAAAATGATATAAAATAAGTAATGATAAGTTATGATGAGTGTGTAAGCATATTTTAAGAACTTGATTTCATATGCATGTGTTTGATTTACAATTAATATATAACTACATAGGGTAGGCTTTACCTTGGTTACTAAGTAGCTAGACTTACCTCTTTTATTTAATACTTTACAGGCTCTAGCTTTGGTATAGAGAAGGAGAAGGCTCAAGAGGCTAAGAATTAGTACATTCCTACTGTATGCCTCTAGTTTATATTGATTTTGTAAAATAGTATATGGTTGCCAATTTTAGATTACATATTATGCACTTGCACTATTTTGTTATTGCAAATGTCTGAATTTATTTTAGGCCCTGGGTATTTGTATATGGAAAGATATATGTGTTAATAGGATCAAAATACTAGTACAAGTGTGCAAATGATGTTTTAAACATGTTACAATGGTTTTTAATATAATGTAATAAAAATTACCTTCCCCTTCTGTTTTTGGTGAAAAAGGGGTTGAGGAGTGATTTTATGCTATACTAGTGTGACATGTTGTATTGATAATCTTAGGTCCAATGGACATGATCCAAGTGTTAAAAAAAGCTTTTGACACTTTTTTTAGGTATTGGACACCCTTTTATTGTGAAAAGTTGAGAAAAGTGATCAAAATGTGTTTAAGTATCCAACTTCCTAGTGTGATTTATTTTGAAAGTAAAACCGTGCCATTAGCTAGTGTATGGAAAGAGCTTTTCATAGACACTTAGATCACATCATTAGAACGTTGGATAGAGAATCGAGACGCGTCAAAAGTTCCCTGATTCTATTGTGAAATGATAGCAAAATCTGTTGATATTTATGTGCAACATGCCACGGTGCATAGCACAGAGAGCAACACGCCATGGTATAGCATACACAAGCAGCAGCACATTGCCCTATCTCACAGCAAATATGTTATTTTTCAATTATTTTTATTCATTTTCATTCCTTTGAGGTATCCTATACTTTTGTAATTTATTTTTACTTTGATATACAAGTTTATGATTGATTTAAACCAATTTTGATTAAGAAAACTT